ATCAGTTGTTCATAGAATAAAAGAACAAAGTTAATTTTACTCAAACATATACCTATAGAGAGCAAAATCAGAGAAACTGGTCATTTTTGCATTAGTCTTAATTTTTTCCAGCGCTGTATGGGCCTCCAGCTTCTGCCAGTGGCACCACTACCAAAATTTGCGAGAAAGCATGTTTTAGCATATCAAATCAGCTGATGTGTGAATTTGTAAGTTTAAAACCAGACTGGTGGATTGTTAAAAAAAAAAATCATAACGGTTCAAGAATTTGTTTTTTTCTACCCTGCATTGTAAATTCCAGCAACTAATTCATTAAACCTCTTGCCGTTCTGTTCTGGTTTTAGGTTTCATGTGTAGAGCAAATAATCAGTGGTCCAAACTGTGGATAGTTGTGAAACCGACTGAATGTGGCCCATGAAGTTGTTAGGCAAATCTGGTGTTTGGGGGATTTTAAGCTGATTCTGCTTGCATCATAATGGTCTTAAACTTTAAAGTGTTTGACTTTAAATGATGATAAATGTTTATACTTTGTTGAGTTTATGCTGTTGTTTAGGATTGCAGACAAGCAGTGATGTTGCTTCAATAGAGAGGACGGAAATCAATTGGTTGGGTGGGATTCAGCTTTGTCTGATCATCACATTCTTTTTGATTTGTCATCAGTCCATTTTTTGTACATAAGAAAATATCAGCAGACCACTGTTTCAACAAGACAAGCGGTTAGTAGTGGTTAGGAAAAATAAATATTATTTGTAATCGTTCATTTTTCCTTGTTGTCTCTGGGTGTTGAGGTTTCCTCTCCAATCACATCCAGATGTTTCACTGACAGAGGCCTGTTCTTTCCACACCTTTATCATTGCTAATGCCAGAACCACCAACACATTTGGATCAGTCTACAACAAATTATCAAAACGTGGAAGAAAAATGTCTATGTTTTCTATAACAGTGGACCCTCCAGAACGAGAGATGTTTCTTGTGTGAACTGAATGAACTCAGGTTGACTTGAGACACTTTTTTGAACTCCATCAAATCACCAAACATATCTTCTCTCATCATTATATTTGGGGGTCTTTATAAATTGAGCTTTCTCCATTTCTTCATATCATTTTAACTGCCATGAACAACTTTCCCCTCTCCCCCAAGACATTCTCAACATTTGTACATGTGGAAATTTCCAAGGTGAAGACGAAACTTATCCACAATAGACATTGATTTGGTTTAATTTGTTACTGATCTCTTTTTCTGAAAATAACTTTTAAAAAATCCTTCTTAAATGTTTCCTGAAATGTCCTGACTTTATCTTACCCGACAGCGCCAAACACATTATTTCTGGCACAAATATTTACTGCATCTGTTGCTCAGAAATCTACTGTGTCCAGTGAACGTGGTGAACTGCATCTTACACTGGCTCTGAAAAAATAGAGTTTAATATCACTGTGATGCAAAAAATATGAGAAAACGAATACTAAGAAAGAGTGATAAAACTAGATAATGTTTAAAAAGTGGTTTATTAAAACATTGCAATAAAATCTTTTGTATCTGACTTTAGTTAACATTTCCCCATAAAACTGTGAAATTTTTATCACATATAGATTCAAAACAATCCAAACACTTTTTTATACATAAAAACTTTTTGTTTGCAACATGGTGACAAAGCATCAACTGTTTTTTCTTTATCATTTCTCAAAACAGAAGAACACGTTTTTGCCTGAATTTGAGCAAAATGCACTAAATGCCGGCAGCTTTTGAAGAACAAAAACGCTGATTTACAGAGTCAGGATAAAAAACTTAAAAAATACACCAAAAATCACAGATGTAAAGCTTTATTCTTGTTTTTAAACGAAAGTGTGTGATGGTCCTTTGCTGTGGATTACTAATTCCAGACTGCCACCTGTTGGACAGATCAGTCAAACTTCTCTAGCAGCTACTCTATCAGAAAGTAAACCCACATTTAGAGTTATACATATTGTATTTTATCACTCCACACTGATCTTCATGGTGCAATATTGAACATTTTAAGATTTAGAACATACTTTTACAATTATTTTGTGAGCATCATTTGTTTTACTTACCCAGGAAATACTGGAAACACTGCACTGCATTGTATTTTCTGTTATCTGTAAGAATGAAACATGAAATTTAACATACTTCATATTGTTCTGTACACTTACAGTCACCCTGTATTAGTTCTGGTGTGGCCTAATTAACCAAAGTTGACTCTTCAGAGCTGATTTGCTTCTTGAGATTCTTGGAACCTGGTCAAAATACGTCCACTCTCCCTCTGAAACAGCATCTTTCCTTGCCTCGCAAAATGCAAACTAATGCAAAATGAACAGTTAAAATTAAAACTGCACAGGCTGAGCTTTTCCAGACTTTTTACAGTCTATACATTAAGATTCAGATACACGGTGCTCTAGTTTCTAAAATGTACCAGATGTTGACTCAGTATTAGTACTTCAGCATAAATCATGGAATAAAGACTCTTATCCTTAAATGTCTTAGTTAAAAGTATCAGATCACACATTTTCAATTAAAAAATAAAAAAGAGAGCATTTTCAGGCTCGTTCTCTGCATATTAAGTGACATACAGCCAGTTGTAAGTCTTCTGTCGAAATGGTTTACTTTCCATCTTTTCATTTGTACTATGTAATTATAAAACGCCCAGCGTTACTCTGTAATTATTGCATGGATTAACATGGATGGACTTGGTTTTTCTTCACTCATATATCATTGGAAGTTCATGTAGTCTTTTTATGTCAACTTTCCATTAACAGTTGGATATAACACACTGCATACAGTCAGAGGCAATAACGTTTTCTAGCTAACCCTCCTGGTGGAGGATCTCTGCCTTTTTTTGGTCAAGTCAGCAGTTTTCCTGTGGCCATTACAAACAATCTTCTGTTAAAATGTTGGTGTTATTCAATATAACTGTTTTAGACATAAGATATAATGTAAAATTCTCAGAAACATTAGACAAATATTAATTTCATTTTTTTAAACTAAAAGTATATTTCCAAAAGGCCTCTGATGACCAAATTTATTTTTAAATGAATGTTTTCTCTTTTTAAACATTCTCGTGATTTTTGATGTGTTAATAGCCCCAGATCTTAGTAAGAAGAAATGCAAACTAAACAGCTATTAAATGAATGTAATAAGCCCCTATAGCACTATTACAAATTATTCATATTTACATAACTACAGCTTCTAATGTTTACGCAGTGGTGGAAAGGAAGAGCCAACTTTCTGTTACAATAGACAGGAAGATGGATTTTATGCAACTCGCTGCATTAAAAAGAAATTAAACATTTGTGTAACCAAACAGCAAAACACCTTTTGTTAGAGAAGAGTAATAAATAGAGTACATTTAAAAACATGCTATTTTGTCTTAGTTTTTCTTAATCTTCTACTTTAACTGTAAAAAAATAAAAAAATAAAAAATTGATATATGTCCTTTTTTTTGTAGTATGTGCCCAGGAAAGCAAAGGCAGGTAACTCAGAGGTGGTAGTGCCACTTCAACATATATTTACTGCAGTAAAAGTAAAATCAACGAATTTTATTCAGATCAATTTCTTTCAACATAAAATATATATATTTTAAGATCAAAATGAAAATAATTCACATAATTACAAAATAAAGTCAAGCAAAAAAAGATCAAAACTAATTTCTTAATATGAAACTTGTTCTTCATTCACTGAAGTTACTTAAAGTGGGTAGAGGAAGCAGGCTTTTTACTCAAGTGACACAGTAGTGACAAATAAAAGTAAAAAAGTAGTCTAGTTAAAGTATTGCTGGGTGGAAGATGACGTAGTACCCGGCGTCAGGCAACGTACACGGGGGGGGGAGAACAGGGGGTCAGAGAGTAAATGCAGCCAATTGACTTCTATTAACCCAGCTTCAAAATGCCTGAAATATGTGTGGTGTTCGGCTGTTTCAACCGATCAAACAGGGAGAGGGACAAACGTTATTTCCGTGTTCCGAAAGTGGTTGGTCACAAAGGAGATAATTTCAAAGAACTTACGGAAAAAAGACGAGAAGCGTGGATCAACAATCTGCAGCTAAATCCAAGAGCTGCGCAAAGTATACATGCCAGAGTTTGCAGCGACCACTTTCTGACAGGTGAGCCTCGCATCGCTCTATTGGACAGTTGTTTAGAAAGACGAGGATTCACACGTAAGGCGAGATCTGCTGTTTTTACGCCCCGGCTCGGTTGGAACCAGAAAGTGTTTTGAGTGCTAATGTTGTTAGCAGCTAGCTCGGGGCTCACGTTGGCGTTTCACATCTTACTCTACTGCTTTATAGGTTGTCCGAGCGCAGCAGGTGATGTAGATTCCCAAGACTGGGCCCCTACTGTTCACCTGGGATACCAAAGAATGAACAAGAGGCCACAAACAGACGCATCAAAACGCCTCAGGAAAGAGCTAAGGCACGGAAACTTCCCTGCACCCTGTTAGCATAGACGAGCAGCTTAAAAACTCACGACCCACCCGGCCAGAAACAAGTAGATTTAAAGCTTCTTAAAACTGAAACAAAAGAGTCCTACGCTTCCAGACTTTTGAAAGTTTTCACCTGGCTCGTTGAGGTGTGGGGATCGTTTCGACACCGGGTAAATCCTCAATATTACATGACAAGTCTTTTTTAGCGAGATGATATGGATCATATCCTAAATATACGAGTATTTAGTGCGCTAACGCCATTTACGGCTTTAGCGCACTCGCTATGGTCCGTTTTGCTCTGTTTTGAACCGCAGAAATCCACTTCCTGAAAAACCATCTGAATTTCGCGCGTCATCCGGGTCACGTGTCTGCGACCCAGCAGGTGTTTCCCCCTCTCCCCCCTCAAGAAGTTACTCAAGTAAATGTAACTATTTCCTTACTAACTCTGCTCGCGAATGTCCTACAACAGCATACTATGTTTGTGTTAATTTACAAAACGTTTATGCTATTCTCTCGTGGAAGAGCCCAGAGTCTTTAAAATCAATCGAGATGCGCATACAGTAATTCAATCGGAGTGTAATTGTTAGTGAACGCTTTCTCAGATTGAATTGGAGGCTTCCTGGGTTTTATATTTTCACTTTGTTGAAGCCAAAGGAGGAATTTGAAGACCAAACAGGCTAAAGGGGTACATAACACAGGCTCTGGAAGTATTTAAAGGCGTATGGAGCACATTAAAACCCCGCCAGAGGGACTGGGAAGCAGTCTGTTCCCGGGAATGTGATTGGTCCAGACTCTCCGAGTATTTCCGCTGCCTGGGACTCGCTAACCGACCAGCTCCAGACCCCCCCTCTCCTCTGTGTGATGTACAGCGGTAAAATAAAAAGGCTAACTCACCGCTTTTAGGACTCTTCCTAAACTGGAAACCGCATGTAGAAAGTTTCGTCTCCTGAACCCAGAGAGTGGGACTAAAAAAGGTGAGCTGACAAACAAATCCTATTCAGCAGGTCTTTGTGCCAGATCCCTCCTGCTAATGCTAGCTAGCCAGTGCTGCTGTTATGGAGCAGCATTAGCTGGCATCGATAATCAATAGCTGTAACGACGTGGTGCGAAGCTGGGTCGGAGAGAAGATTTCAACATGTAAAAAGGGTTTTAATTTCTGCCTTTGTGCTGGAGCTGAAAGCAGGAGAACAAAAGCTCTGCAAAAGCCCAACATTAGCATTAGCTTGTCTGCAGAAAGGGCTAGAGGAGCCAGACTGTAGCTTATAATGTCTGCTGCTCGGGTCTTGCATGCATTAAGAAGAAGTTTTAGTCGTAGGTAGGTTGTTTCAACAAGCTATGTTTTTGTTAATTCTCGTGTTTTGTTTTTTTCTTTTTTTGTCTTGTTATTTTACTCAACAATGATTTCCTGCAGTCAAATTGCAATGCTTTGTGCATATTAGCCCTCTGACTGGTCGATATTCATCAGCTTATAATTAATAAATTACTATTAAAAAAAAGAAAAACCTTTATATTCAGGTTTTATCTGGGTACTGTTGTAACGAATTTAATAGAAAACTATTTTATTGTCCCTCAGTGGGGACATTCAGGTGGATTGAAAGCAGGTAGATTTACACAAAAATGAACTGTCTTCCTCTTGACAACAGTCCATAGATATTGTAGTATGCTAAGCCAAGACATGCAGGGTTATTTAAAAATGTGCACAAGAAACAGCAGCAGCTTGTTTATAAGAAGTGCAAACAACAACAGTGAAAGGATGCAGCAGTTTGTCTTCAGGAGCTTTTCAGATCTGTAACAGGCTAAAGTTTGGGGTGGTTGACCTTATCAAACGGTGCATTATGCGGAGGGGTCATCCTACAACACAGTTGGCCTTCCTGAATTGATAATGAATACCGTTAACTTTAATTCAACTTGTTTAAATGAACTCCTGTGCTGTCAGTTCACTACAGAAATCATCCAAAAGAACTAGGGATGCACCAATTTCCCTCATTTTGGGAAATCCTTTTGTAGGAGAAAATAAACTAATCCATATCGTACAGAATATTATGTCAATCCAATTGTAAAGATGTACTGAAATTCCATAAAAGGAAGTTTAACTGCAATTATATTACAATACTGTTAATTTCAGATTATAAAGCCAAGTGGCAAAAAGTTACTCATTTAAGAACCCCCACCAATTGCATCGACTTCCTCAGCAAGTCCGCTTGAGCAAGCTTATGGCGACTTGACAGACAATTGCATCAAATTGAGTTAAAAGCAATCTCTTTTTCTGAGCAAACATGTGGTAACAGTCCAAAAGACAGACTCCATTTTAACCAGAACAAACCTGCAGACAGGTAAAGGCAGCTTTCTGCTTCTTTGAAGGCAGTTAAACAACCTCCTATAAGTAAGACTTTATGGTGGATTTTGTTTCCATGCTGAAGTTCGAATTCTTACTTGAAAAGTCAAGGTTCATTGAACAATTCTGGGTTCAAATCCAATATGGCTATCATTTGTTTTTATTTCTGCTATTTGCTCCATTCTGCTCTGAAATCAGGACTCAGACCTGGAAATGTGAAGTTGTGTTTGATTGGACCTGGGGATCAGGTTTTCTTCCATCATCATCAAGGTCTGGAAAAATATGGAAAAATGAAAGTTGATTGTGAAATATATTGGACGTTTCCAGATGTTTTGTTGTTGTTTTTTTACATCTTTCATTTCCAAATGAAAAAAAGTTCAATTGTGCTAACGAATGTCAATAGTTTTCACTTCCAAGCATTAAAACATGCTGTTTCACTACATTTGTATCTAGATAGATTGCCCGTATGACTCTTGAACTAGAGGAAGATGTAAGCATTGATGTGTAAAAGTGACTGATTATGCTTCTTTCAACAGCTTAGAAGAAGGTCTATGGGCTAAACAAAACATCTTCATCACATTTTTTCACGAAGTCATTATTTGGGGAAAAAATAATACATACATAATAAGATTTTAGTCTGTTCAGTTCTGGCTATTTTCTAACACTGCTTCTTTCAGAATAAGCTGCATGTTTTACGACCTCTTCCCACCGTACATCCAAATGTTTATGAAATGTGAAAATGTCTGTGAACAAATGTGCAAATACAACCGTCTTTGAACATTGTACAAACACCTTTTCTAAGTCAACAAACAAAGCACTTGTTTTGTTTTTTTTTTGTTTTTTCTCAGCTGCCATTTTGTGGCTCATTCTGCAGTGAGACCAGCAGATCGAACATGCGCAAATTCCACTCGGGTTGCTAGGCGAGGGACTGGGGTTTGGCTGGCGTTGCTAGGTAACGGGCTGGTGTTGCTAAGTAACAGTGCAGTGTCAGTTGACTCTGGTTTAACAGTTGGGAGGTTTTTGAAACGGCTTCTTCTTCAGACACCAAAAAGCATTAACGTGTTGCCAAAAAAACCCCCGACTGGGTGGTTTTTTTTTAAGAGCTTACGCTCAAGCAGTTGGGACCAAAATGGAGGTATAAAGACGTGAATTTTGTTGCATTCTCTCGTTGTCTGTTTCAGGTCCACCATGTCTGAGCTTTTCATGGAGTGTGTAGAGGAGGAGCTGGAACCGTGGCAGAAACAAGCTCCTCAGGTTCATCTCATCGATGATGACGACGACGATGACGATGAACCCATCTTCGTTGGTGTTCTCTGTATGTAAAAGGATATTCCCTATATGCTCAACGTTTCTCAGTAAATTGAAATATCCTAAATTTAGTTTAAAAGTAATTAAAAAAACACCAGAAACATTTTAAGCGTTTATTTCTGTTATTTTTGATAACTTCAGCTTGTAGCTAATAAATGTTACAAACTCCAGCTTCACAGTACATTTTAATATTATATAACATCAATAACTGTGTAAAAATGTTGTAATTCTGAAATGCTAAAAAGTACATTTATGTACTGCACGTTATAAAGACTCTTTTTCATGAATTATTGCATCAATGCGGCATGGCATGGAGGAGATTAGACTGTGATTAATACTGGCCTTCCGCCCATCTGGATTGTTGGTTCTGTTGTCTCTCATCTTCCTCCTGACAACAGTCTGTAGATGCTCTTGTATGCTAAGGCAAGACGAGTTCAGTGAGTTTATTTATTAATATGCTCTGATGCAGTACTCTGAACTGGCTGAGTCTTTGCAGTTGATTTTTTTTCTTCATTGGCATTCTGCCTGACATGATAGTTCAGGCTTTAACAGGGGGGAAAGCAAAGCATTTCTGTATTAAAAATAGTTTATCTCACGTATTTATTTATTTATTTATTTTAGAAACTAAATGTTCAGTTTTATTTAAAATGAGTAATATTTTAGCTTTTGAATTTAATTGCCTACACAAATTAGCTTTTGACAATAATCCAATTGACTGAGATGCACCTGCATAGCAGCTCTGAAATGAAGTATGAATATGTTTCTGGTGAAAGTTGGAGCTACATCTGACCTCCTGCAGCAACATGTGATCACCTCTTTGTATTGTCTTACAGCCGGTAACCAGAAGGACAGTAAGCCCATCCCGGCTCCTCCTCAGAGGAGCAGTGCAGGAGCTCAACAGAAGAAAGTTACTCCACTTCAGGCCCCTGCAGGCCCCTCACCTATAGTGCTGCCACTGAACGTACCTGTGACTACAGTCAAAACCGTATCCCCATCCCTGACAACAGTGGCTCCTCAACCTGTTATAGTTAATAATCAGGTATTTTCAATGAGATTTATAAGGAGTAATAGTCAATGGGAATGAAGAAAATGACATTTCATGTTGATTTTCTTTTCTTCTTTAAGGGGTTTATTGTCACTTCTCCACAATTAGCAAACAGCAATGACCTTATTGCCACTCTGGGAACCCAGTATCCCCCTGGAACATCATTTACAATTGTTCCAGGTAAATCCTGGTTAGCTGTGCTTGTTAGCCGATTTGAAATCAACAGGTTACAGCTAATATCGTTTTGCTTCCGTTTCTCAGCCCCTCGGCAGCAGGTTTTTCAGCAGGTCTCTTCAGCCACGGGTTTGACTGGTGTGGTCCACCGGCCTCAGGTTCAGCAGATCAGAAACAACGTGGTGACTTTGGCGAATGTCCAGAGTCCTGCCGTATATTCAGCTCAGTCTAATCAGCTGCAGCCCCAAAGATCCAACACGTCGTCCCTTCAAAACGTTATTGGGAAGGACTTGAGTGGTATTTGACTTTATGCACTATACAAACTTTACTTTAGCATCAGCTGGAAGTGATTTAGACCACAAATGTTTCTGTTTGACCTCATTCAGATCAGAGCTCAGTCAAGCGGGGATTGATGGCATCAGAGGTTGACAAAGTAGTGAAAAGAGTCAAAATTGATTCTGGTAGGTTTTCACCCCAACATGAGCATATATTTTGGATTTTCTCAATGTTAAAATAGTACAAATTGTCATTTGTAATATTTCTCACTTTTCTGTGCAAAAGTAACTATCCAAGTGGAAAATGGCGTTTTAAAGAGAACCTGTTCCAAATGTCATGAAGACTTTCCTTCAGAGGAGGCTGTGAACTTTCATATGGTGGTGAGTAAACTGTTGCAAAATCATGCAAGATTCAATCTTGAAGAAAAAAGGGTCAAATTTCTGTTTGTTTTTAGGTTCATGAACAGATTTCTGGCCGATTACCGAACTTTTAAAAAACCTAACTTAATTATTCCGATTTTGGCCGATACCAGTTTTTTGTCTGAAATGTTATTTAATATATCTAGAAAGTTGCTGAATTGGCAACAATGGGGTGACTGTTGTTAACTGTAAATGTGCAGACAAGACTTGGTGAGCACACTTGTGAGTAAAACCTCTCACAGGAGAAAAGAAAAGCACAGTGGTTGATTTTTAGACCTTTGCTGAGGGTGATAACATCGGTGGGTAAGATCGGCTTCAAATCGGCCGATCAACGATCTCCCAAAATTAAGGAACTAGAGACCAATAAATCGGCTGGCTGATAAATCGGTGCACCCCTATTATATGCCCCTTATTACCCTACGGTACGACAAATGTTCGCTGTGGAGCTAAAGCTTGTCTTTATATTTCAGCGTTGTTGTGCGACTGCAGGAAGTGCAGCTCCTTCAGCTCCGAGCATCACCAACGCTAACAAACTCATCATGCTAGTCGCAGATTTCTACTATGGAAACTTCGAAGGAGATGCAGAAAAACAGGAGGCACAGAAAACCAACACAACCTTCAAGTGCCAAAGCTGTTTGAAAGTTCTCAAGAACAACATTAGGTAAGTTTGTTGTTTTATAAGTGGCTGTACTTTAACTTATATCCAGTGAGCAAACATGTGCCGTAAGTAATTCTAGCTCAATACTTAACTTCAAAACAAGAAGAATGTTTTGTGTTTTAGTTTTCAGGTTTTTAACAAACCTATCAGCATGGAACATCTTAACACTTTACTAAAGGTTGTAGAGGTACAGAAAATCCATAATAATATCAGATAATGTCTAACCATTTCTTACAATTAGATATCATTAATCATTTAGAAAAGAAGAATCGATTAAAAACAAACACTTTTTTTGATATATCAGTAAAAATGGATTACAGATGTTAAAATTATCAGGAAGAGAATAAAAGATATAAGACTTTGTGGCTTTTTAATCATTAGATCAGAACTTTTATGGGTCAACAAAAGCAATCCAATAATTAAAAAAGTCACTGGAGATTTAAGCCCACATTAAAGACTTAAAATGCTTCTAATGAGCTTTACTCAAAAATAGTCAGCATAGAAAATAATACATATAAATAATTTGAACACCTGGTAATAGTGTGACATTTTTTTTATTTTTCTCGTTGTGACTTATTCCTTTAATGAACAAAAGTTTCTCTTGAAGATTTGATTCCTTGCATGTTTCTGGAAAAGGGGTCATTATATGGCACTGATCAGCCAATCGCAAGTCGATTTTGTTGCTACTATGGCAACATATCAACAGTGTCCTTAATTGCACAACTATAGGCAAAGTTAGAAAAACAGTCAGTATTTTTAGAAACTAAGACTCTTTAAGGCTGAAATTTTTTTTTCTGATTAATTATATAATTCAGCTGAAATGGAGGGAGAAGTTTGTAGGTGAAAGGGAAATTTTTAAAGGTGAGCTTTGTGTGGATTAATCTGTTTTTATTCATTTTAATATCTTGTCTGTGCTTGGAATCACAGTATATAGCTTTTTTTGTCTTGTTCATGAGCATTTTTGAGTCAAACCTTTTCTATCAGTGAGTGCTTGTTGAAATCTCCATCGCACAGTGATGAGCATGTTCTCACACAGCACCTGAGGACTTGAAGGAGTTCCTCGGAAATATATCTGTCTTGTGCAAACGCCGGAACAGTGCACATCCTTGTCTGCCCTAACTTTCCTCTCAGATAGATGACTGCATCACACCGTTTTCCCTCCTGGGCCTAAAGATGAAAAATGACTTGTAGTTTACTTGGCGTAAAAACTGCCCCTTTGATTAAATAACTTTGCCTCAGAACATTGCAAAAAAAGCTTCTGTAAGCTGCTTTTAATGGGGAAGCACATTTGTACTGGTACGGCACTCTTCACAGTCGGGGGTCATAGTTCATCCACAAGAAAATTTCTGTTGGGGGAGCTGAGGCTGCAGAATGTTCAGGCTGAAAAATGGGCTGCGCCTTGTCAGGGCAGCGGAGGCAGGTAGCTGTGGAGGTGCAGCTACCAGCCATGAAGCACTACATCATTAGGAAGAACAAAAACATTCCCATATAATTGCTGATATTATAACGGCCATTATACATGCTTAGAAAGTGAGTTGTGGGGAGATTTCTTCATTCATCTTAAAACCCCCAGGGATCGGGACTAATGTACACAAGTCATGAATAATTAATTACCTCTCCACATCTTAATGACGTTTTGTGTTTTTTGAGAAACTAATATGCCAAAAAAATGTAATGAAAACTGAAATTTTTGCGTTTTAATTTAATTTGATGTGATTAGCACAACATATTTGTTCATTGGTTCTTTGAAGTTGTCTTCAATTTTATTTTAAATCAAATGTTTAAAGGGAACCTATTAAGCGCTTTGAAAAAATAAAAAATAAACACCAAGTCATTTTATTCTTCAATAACTTTATAGTTTTGGTGTCTGGAAAATTAGCTGTTTCAAAAACTTCTTGTACCGTTACTTAGCAACCCCAGCAAATCCCAGCCCGTCTCCTAGCAACTCCTAGGTTTGGTCCGCTGGTTTTATCGCTGTATGTGATGTTTAATAGCTACTGGAAAAGACAAGTGTTTGTTGTTAGCTTACTGTTCAGAAACCCCCGTGTTGCATTTTTGTTAGCTGTGCAGGAGGCTCCACTTCTGCTTTTCAACAATGTACAGTTCTATAATTGTTTTTAGGCAGCTCTAACCAGACTAAATTCTCATTATCTAAGAATAATTTTGTGTAAGAACAATATAATGAACATGTTTTGTATATACTTATCCTAACTTGTTCCAGAAGCATAATCTTTAAGCTTGTTTTTACCACAAAGTGTAAAATACATCTCTGTATTTGAAGAACTATAGCTTGTCCAGACTCAGCATCACTTCCGCCTCTTCTTGACGGCAATAAATAGTTTAACTGACGGTATGAAGTCAGCTTTAATGCAAATCTTTAAGGGTGTTCTTTCGTTCCCACTGACACCAACGTCAAAATAAAATACAAGATAAACTTAAATGAGATGAGTACAATAATGACATGAAAATGTTATATAAACATTCCTCGCTGGCTGACCCTTCTTTCAAAGTAGAAATGAGGTTTTCAATAAATTTAAACAGCTTTTCTACAGCCACTTGCCAAAGTTTCCATTTGTCGTGCATCTTTTTTCTGGTGTCCCAGCGAACATGCGGGATTCCACTTCCTACTGAAACTTTTCAAAATAAATCTCACAATAACAAAGAAATACGCATAAAACGTATAAACTAAAAATGATAGCGGTAAAACTCGGGGTGTGTCGGTCCTCCTGTGCAGGTTCATGAACCACATGAAGCACCACCTGGAGCTGGAGAAGCAGAACAGTGAGAGCTGGGAAAGCCACACGACCTGCCACCACTGCTACAGGCAGTACATGACTCCCTTCCAGCTGCAGTGCCACATCGAGAGCGCTCACAGCCCAATTGAATCTTCAAGTAAAAAAAAAAGCACGATCCAAACACCCCAGACTTTTTGATTTAATGTTGGGGCGTTGATTACTTTCGTTTGTGCTCACTTTGCAGCCAACTGCAAGATATGCGAGCTGGCGTTTGAATCGGAGCAGGTGCTCCTGGAGCACATGAAGGCCAACCACAAACCCGGTGAAATGCCTTATGTCTGCCAGGTCTACTGCTTGTCATTATTGTTCAGCTCTTGCTTACCTAATGTTTCCTGAAAAGTGGAAGCCAGACACTAACATTGTGTCCTCCTGACTCCACAGGTTTGCGATTACAGGTCTTCCTTCTTCTCAGACTTGGAGGCACATTTCCGAAGTGTCCATGAGAATACCAAAGACCTGCTCTGTCCGTTCTGCCTCAAAGTGCTGAGAACGAGTCACATATACATGCAGCACTACATGAAGCATCAGGTATGACGCTAATAGAAATTAGCAGCAAAAACATAACAGTGGTGGGACTTGATTAAAATTTTTAATTGACTTAATCACGGGATCTATAATTAATAAATTGCACTTTAAATGAAAACCATACATTGACAAAATAAGCAACATTTTTAATTCAAAACCTGTTTTTGCTGCTAAATTATTGAATAAATAGACATATAAGCTCAACAATAAAGACATTTATCGCTGAACTTCTTTGAAAACATATTTAGAAATGTGGACTATAAGTGTTGGGGATGCCTCAAAATTTGTATATATATTTTATATTTTAGGCCTGAATAGCTTAACATTGGCCAACTCATTTTTCTTAATGTGTTTTTAAGCGTCCCATAATCGGATGTCTTTTTTATTTTTGTTATTATTGTTCAAAAATGAACCCCAAGGTGGGACAAGGGAAGCGGCTTCGTCGTCTGTGACTTTGTTTCCAGATTTCGCTTGTGCGACATATATAAGGCTGTACCAGAGACGCAATACAAAGGTTCCTGTTCAGGACAACTATATCTTAAAAGAAAGAAGAGTGATTTACATTTTTAACACATTTAAATCTTTGAAATATATATTTTTTTTATTTAGGGCCAGGTCAGAGTTCTGGCCCTAAATTAATTCTATTAGAACAATAATTGGAACAAATGTTTGGTTGAGATAAATATTTGAGTTGAAAAACTTTCTAAAGCTTCCTAAAATGTCTCTTGGAGGTAAAATTAGGTTTGACCTGCAGCTTCCCCTCTTTCAGACTCTTTTATTGCAGTAACCTTCTAACATTGTAAATGTAATCAACATTGTTATATTTCAGAAAAAAGGGATCCATCGATGTGGAAAATGCAGACTACATTTCCTCACCTACAAGGAAAAAGCAGAGCACCGGACTCACGTCCACAAGACTTTCAGGAAGCCTAAAGCGTTGGAGGGTCTTCCTCCGGGTACAAAGGTCTGACCCAGTCAACAATATCATTCGGACATTTTATTTCAGTTCAGCTGGCTGAGTCCATGTTCTGTTGTTGCTGCAGGTCACGATCCGGGCCTCGCTGACGGGAAAGGGACCGATAATGCCACACGGCTCCAATCGATCAGCGGTTACTGTGACTCCAGAGCCGACGGGTTTCCCGAACTTCAAAGTCAAGGCTCCAGTAAACCTGTCCAGGTCCAAAATGAAAGACCCTCGGATGGGAAAGGCCAAGTCTACTTACAGCAGAAAGCAAGAACGTCGACCTTCCAAGCACAACCTGGCACTCAAGAATCTCAGGTTCGTTCAGGATTCCCTGCACGGTCGTTTCTCTAAATTCACAGACAACTTCAGCTGAAACACACAAGACGGAGCAGGAAACTGAAAAGCTTATATATTGCTTTATATAATGGTTAAAGAGCCAAAAACACTCTGAGAATGAAGTAGAAACATGAAGTTCCACGTTTTCTTGACAGACAAAATTAATTAGTTGTTGTAGATTTGCAATCCACAGTCTCTAATTATGGTTTAAGTTCATTTTACAGCTAGTCTATAGCAAGATGTCCTGGTGTAAAATGGGTTATATTTATATATTTTGGCTAAGCTTTAACTTTGCTGGCTTTAAACCTGAACATAATCTGTAAAAAAAAAAAAAAAAGACTGCCTTTCTCCCTGATGTTTTTTGTCCTGCGTTTCCAGTGCCGGTGACGGGTGCTACACATGCATCGAGTGTAACAGCGAGGTCGACGACTTCTTTTCACATTTTCCAATGCTCTCAAACTGCGGCGCATGCACGTACCGAACAGGATGTAAAGTGTCTTTCGGGAATCATATGATAAAGTGAGTCACAAGTCGTTGCTTTTTGCTATTAGCCACTTTCAAATACCGTCACCAACACTAGCAATCTGACTTTGCCTCTCCACCCCCTCTTATTAGGTTTCATAGCACCATCAGCAAACAGAGGATTTTAAAAATGGATCGCAGAAAGACTTCACCTGGAATAAAGTAAGAAGGCTTTTTCTCATCTCTAGAGGCAAAAGATCCGAGGCGGAAAATGACGGCAGATTTCTCGTTTTTGGTTCAGGTTAACCCTCATCTGTCTCAACTGCAATCTGCTTGTTGACGCGTCCGGTGGAGACCTGATGTCCAAGCATTTAACTGACCAGCCGCATCACACATGCAGAGTCATTCAAGAAAAAGGTTTGTATCTTTAAATTCTGAGGCCTGATACAAGCGTTCTTAAAATTGTGAATAAAGAAAGAAGTGTTTCTTTCTTGGTTTAACTAAACAGACATCAGACCTGAAGACAAAGACCAGGACAAAGTGTGAGTAGAAACTCTTACCGCCATTAAATCTTAAAGTGCTGCTGTTCTACTTGAAGGGACTTACTGGTGGCCAACATGAACAGCCATTAGTGGCTTTTAATTTACAAATTTCAGAAAAAGTAAGGAAGCTGCTTCATCTAGCAGAGAAACACAGCCAAACATTACTAATCTGATCAAATTATGTTCATCACACCTTTTGCACAAAATCATTCTTGGATAATAAGATTTCAGTCGGCCTATATGAAGCTAATTTCAAAGTGAGCTGTTTTAAGGTCACTTTAAATCAAAATAAATAAGCAGGTCGCATTACGTCAAAGAAAAGAAAACACGAGTTGGAATTGGGTGGCTTCAGGCCGCAGTGTGAACGCAGATTAAGTTTGTTTTTTCCAGAGGGAGTAAAAACCAACTGGCCAATGGGCTTTAGTTCCCTGTGGGTTGCTGGGGTAACGGTGCAGCGCCTGTTGAATGTCGCTTTAGAATTTTTCCAGACGTTAAAGAAACATGGCTGCCAAAAAATGACCAGATGTTTTCTTTTGTCTTGTTTGTTGTAAGGGTTGTTTCTTGTAGTACAGACTCAAATGGAAGAACAAAAATGTGAGTTTTAATATCCTTTTTATTTTTTTATTTAATTTGACAGGCATATCCAGCAGCAGGCAGATGCCAAAGAGACGGTGACCCTCTTGCCAACGACAACAGCTACAGAGCCAGAAGAAACGGACTCCAAACCGTCTCATCACGACACATCTGCGAGTCAGACACTCGATGATGCCGACTGGCCTGAGTCAGAGCAGAAACCGCCAGCAGACGAGAAGGAACCCGACTCGCCAAATCCCAGATCGGAGGAAGGCGTCGAATTAAAACGGCCGTCTTCGAAGGCCGCTTCGCCGTCTTCATCAGACGTGCGTCAGATTCCCTGTGAGGGTCACACAGAGAGCCTGCACGTCCAGGAGCAGCTGTCCGTCTCAGACGGTTTGCTGGATCCAGTGACTGGAGAAAAAACACCTTAAATTATCTGTCGCTAACAACAGCTGGAGAAAACGGATGATTCTCTATGATGTTTTCAAAGTACGATGAAAATATTCCTTTTTTTTTTTTTTTTGTCCTGCTTTGGCTGTTCTGAACTTTGGTTTACCAACAAGAACAATCATTTAAAATATAGTTCAAAGGTTTTTCACCACGTCTTTTTAATAATAAAAAAAGGATTAAATGCATCCCTGCGATTCCAGGGTACCGTCTGTTTGCCATTAGACTTGAATGTTTTAGGCTAATTCTGTGTTTCTTATATGCTGATGTAATCTTTGCAGCACATAGGTCAACATCTTTTATGAAACTAGTTACTTGTGCTCTTTTTTTTTTTAAATTGGAAATTTTATTTTTTTAATTGCTTTTATTTTAATTAAATAGATCTTTAAGATGGTTTTATTTTGAGAAAAAGCTTTTCCGTTAAGCTTGTGGATGTAGTCATCCTCTATCCATGCATTAAACAAATAACAGTTGTTTTGGGGGATTGCTTTAGCAATGTGTGAACCTTTGCAGAAGAATCAATTTTTAATGTAGATTTTTTTTTTTATCTGAATTAGGTTTTACTCTAACATCAGTTTTAAACCTAGTTTTAATTTGTAGTTTGGTCATTGTGTGATAAATTTTTTTTAGTTTTGTGATCTTCCATCAGCTGGAGCAAACTGTTTTTTTTTTTTTTATATATATTTATTTATTTTTTTTACTGAAATGTTCAGTTGTTTACCTAAAACTCCAGAGCGTGCGTAGGTTAAAGTATCGCCTTTCATTCAGTATTGGCTGATGGCTTGCAGAGTCCCAGACTGACTTTGTATTCTTCACTCTGCTGATTTTCAACCATGATTTAAATCGTGAGCAGAAAATCGTTGGGGATGTCATAGGAAATGTTTCTGGTGCAGCTTTGTGAGCGATGTGGCTCAGACGAGCACAGTGGGAAAATATTTATGTAAGTTTTCTGTCTTAACCAGGCTGAAAGTTCCTCGTAAAAGAGATGTTGACATGTTCCCTTCAGAAAAAGGTGTAAATGACAAAAGTCATTTTCTTGTTTTTAATTCTTTTTACATGTAAAAAAAAAAAAAAAAACTATCCTGTAAATACATTTACTTCTATGTATAAATGTTTTGATGATATTCCTGTTATATTCTCTACATACGTCACATTATGCCGGAATCTGCATTGTGGATTATAGCAGCAGTTTTCTGTTTTTTTTTTTTTTTTTTTTTTTTTTTTTCCTGTAAATAAACATTGAATAGAAGACTTGTGCGTTAATCTTACTTTAAATCAGTTGGTGTATTACACCTGCAACTTGTTAAATATAACTAATAATAAATCTGGCAAAATCAGTTAATTGAATTTCCTATGGACCAATTCTGAGTCGGTGAAGTCATTTTTTTTATTTTTGTTGTTGAAAATGGGAATTTGTTCTCAACTTACCTGGTTAAATAATTTTTTATTTTTTTTTAATCTAAACTTTTTGAACTGGTTTAGGTCCCAGTGCAAATATCTACACTTTAAGACAAAACAGTTTCCCAGCAAAATATAGAACCTTGTTTTAAATAAATAAATCTTTTATATATATATATATATAAAAGTACTAGTTTTGGTGGCATGCTGCAGCAGATGGAGTGCTGTGTAAAGTTGAATATACAGTGTTGGTGCAGCTCCACATGTGTTTCTAAAACGGGTCAACATTTCAGCAGACCTCTGCAATGAAACGCCTTGAATACCGGGGAAGTCTTCAGAAAACAATGCTTCTCCTCCTATTGACCACTAGATGGCGGTATTGTTGCGGTGAATTTTGTGGGTTTGGTTAAAAAAACAGTTCAACTATTTTTTTTAAGTTTATTTAGTTTTTATTTAGACTGTTAACATTTATTAAATTCGTAAAATACATCTTAACAGGACACAACTTACAGTGAACTAATCAAATCTAAACAGTCCACAATACAAAACATAGGAACGTCTCTGAAAGGAACCTGTTGAAGTATTTTTCTTGAAACAAAACAAAAAAGATAGAAATAATGAAATACATTGTGTAAATCTCCATGTTCATGACTTCCCCCAGTCCAGAGCTTTCATGAATTCCTCTTCTGCGAAGGACAGCAGCTTTGCAGCTTCAAAGTGCATCTGCAACACAAAGTCATATTCCGTTTTCAAAGAGGAAACATGAACACAGCGCGGGTGTAAAGTAAAGATCCTTACCCTTTGTCTTTTGAGAATGTCGATCAACTTCAGTTGTTTCTTGAAACCGGCAATAAGTTCAGTTTTCTGCTTCTTAAGAATCTGGTTTTCAGCCAGAAGATTTTCTTTACTTTGCTGTTCTTCACTGATTTTGTCCTTTTCAACACACAATAATTAAGAAGTTAGAGTTGAGCATAGACCAACTTTTTATGCAAGACTTTAGGTATCAGATCACATGGAATTAGGAATATATAAAATAATTTAAGAACAATATTTTATCTTCCATAAAATAAACTTGAATTATCAGCGACTAAAATTGTGACTAATAAACATTTGGTCACTGGTGTCATATTTTAAATTATTTTGTTAAAAGCTAGAAGCAAGTCTGAGCTACTAAAGTTTTGAGTCACACACATAAACCTTAGACTAGAAATCACATTTCTAAATATGATCTCTGACCAAATTCATAAACTTCTAACACCACAACTAAAATGATTCTAAGATTTTTCACATGCAAATAAAAATACTCTTGTGTTGCTGGTTGCCCACTAAATTTTGTCAAAGACATGTGACATGATGAGTAAAAATATTCACATGATGCAAATGATGATAACATAGATTTCTGGTGTTTAATATTAATCGACTATGAAAACCAGTCAGGTTCTCACCTTGTTTATTTGTTTTGTCTTAGCGAGTTGAGTCTTCAGCCTCTCCACCTCCTCCACGGCTCTGTTCAGACGAACCTCCACGGTGCTGTGGATGAGCGCCGCCTGCTTTTGGGATCTCGTCAGAGTTTCTACTTCCTGTTCAAAGCACAGCCGACAATCACTGTTATGAGTTCTGATTAGATCGCACGAGCAATGAAGCCCGTTGTCATTTCTGACAGGCGACTTGTCTAAGCAGTTCCATTGACACAAACCTTGCTTAACGCAGACACTTGCAGCTGGAGATCGTCACATTTTCGGGCCGACTCGTCAGCTAAGGCTTTCTGCTTCTCAGTCTGTGTTTGCTGGATGTTGATGGTCCTCTGCAGCCGGACTCTGTCCTCCTCGAGCTCTTTAATTTTTGTCGCCAGCTTTGAATTTTCTTCTTCCTGAAAGGTGAGGAACGTTTTCTAAATACCAGTGGTCTGCTTATTGTTGGAGACTGAAGGTATGAAGAGTGCAGGATTTGTATTTGAGCTTCTTCTTTATATTCATGGTGATAAGATAAAATTACACTGAAGCAAAATGAATTACTGGAATGTTTTATTTATCTACCTTCTTATGATAATCACAAGAAAGCACGTCGATCTCTTCTTGCATAATTCGAAGCTTTGCCTTCAACACTCGTGTTTGAACATCAGAAACGACTGCAAAGGAAAATAAAGTGATCACATAACTCATTCTAAAACAATCAATAAAAATCAAATACTAAACACACTGATCAATAATTTTTCATTTAAAACAGTATGAATCCAAGTGCTTCTTACAGGAATAAAAAAACCTTTACACAAAGGTGTAGAGCCACAGTTCTCAGATTAAGAAACTTTGGTTATTCTAATATTTTTTTCAAAGGGTAAATTTGAGCAGATGAAATGTAATGGGGAGCTGCTTAACACCAATAGCCAAAAACATGATCTGTTCAAGTACATTAGTTACTGTTTCATCAGAATCTTTCAAAAAGAAAAGTCCTGCCAGCATGAAGACAGAAACAAGCCGAGTTTCCTTCACCTCTGCAGTTCAGACTTTGATCTGGAAACAGAATTGATCTTATCTTAATTTGATCATATTCCAGTTGCAAGTCTGAAAAACCACTGGGGTATGTTAATGCCAGAAGACCAGGTCAACTACGACTAGCAGCGCAAACTAATAGTAATGCGCGTCTCTGCATGTAGCACTTTCAGAGTGAGAGCACAAAGGTTTGGGTTCTTCCCAGCTGAATATTGAAATGTTTTCTCATTTGTTCAAATCATTTGTATCAATAAATAAATGTGACTTCATTCTACTTTTGTCGTCCCCTGATCCTCCGTGGTCTTCAGCAGAGTCCACTGCGTTGTCCTGACCAGACTCCATCTCCTCCAGGCCCAGAATAGTCTTTGCTAAGAACATATCAGTTTCATCCAATGGAGCTTCGTCATCGTGAGAGTCCTTCAATGTTCTAGAATAAGCAATACGCCCTTTTTAAGCCATCACAATAAACAAGGATGTAACTGATAATGCAAATAAAAATCAAACTCACGCTGTTTTACATTGCGGCTTCTTTCCTTGTTTCCCAGCATTCTTACTCTGTGTTGCTGATGCGACCCTTTTTTTGCTCACCTTTTAAGGAGTACACAAGTCACACTGAGCAAAAATATTGTTCGATTTTTTTTTTTTTTTAATTACATTGTTCAGCCAGAAGGAAAAGCTGCCCCAGATTAAAAAGCAAACATCTGACCAAGAACCAAAGTTTCCTTTCTGGACTAATACCTTCATTCCAGGATCCTGCACAGGTTTTGGTTGAGATTTTGAGTTTCTGTTGCAGAGGAGTCGGACGCACACATACACACACAGCACCTGCTTTGTTAGTTATATTATTTTCATGACAACAAAGATCTGAATGTATGTGGCTGAACAGTGGCTGCACATTGTCCGGCATGCTCTTCCCTCTTGTCACGGCTCTTACCTCAAACCATCTCCGGCCTCCATTCCCAAGGTGAATTCATTAGAGAGAGGAGATGACAGAGCTTCATTTTGCTCTCTCTAAAATCCCACAAAGAGAACATTTTTACTTTGATTTCTACGAGAAATAAATGCATTACATTTTCCCTTTTAGGTGTTGAAATTCACTAGATTAGATTTCGAATCTGTATTCACGACTCACCATGAGTTGCTCTGCTTGTCTCACCATCTCTGATGTTTTGGCTTCGAGCTCAGCATTTAACAGCCTGATGGAAACAAGAGGATGCATAAAACAGGTTCTACACAAGCCGTGAAACTTTTGATTATGTATTTGTTTTATTATTATTGGAGATTTGCAACAAAATTTCACTAAATATGTACATTTTAAATGAAGACCTGACTGACTAAAGTAGGCCTATAGTGAGTGTATTTTACCATTTATAGGGAGGAATAATTAACTACTTGCTTTGTTTGAAAAAAAGGGGCGAAGGGTGAGATCTTACTTGTACTGCTCCTCCTTGGCAAACATTTCATCAATATAGTTTTCTGTTGGACTCCAGTTGCATCTTTCCTGTGGTTCAGCTTCCACCTTCTTGGAGCTCTCAGCTGTACTGGATGATGGACGCTTCTTGATCTGTAACACAAAAACAGACAACAGAACTGAGTCACAGAGAGACTTGGCATTGAACCCGAGCTTTAGAAGACTCAATTTATATTTTTGTCTAAACCCGGCATTTTGTAAGTAATTTGACCTGATCCACTTCGAGCACAATCGCAAAACGGGGCTAAAATTATCATTAAGGAGATTTAAAATTTTATAAAGTGTTCTTCAAGATGAGAAAATGTTTTGTTTGAACTTTTCTAACAACCAAAGATCAATTTATTCATTACATACCTGCGAAATGACGGCCTTAGCCTTTTTCTTAGAACTTTTGTCCGCCATTATTGTGGCTAAATCCGGGTTGCTTAGCAACAACTGTCAACGGCCGAAAGTACGGAAGCTCCTGAAAGACATTTGGATGGAATTTCAGCGTTTGGCAACAAAATGCGAAGTCTTCTTGAACGAAGACACATGCCCGCTATTTTGTTCAATCAATACTGAAAAAAGTGATTTACTGAGGTCATATTTCTTCAGGAGTAGTAATTAAATTAATTACAACAACATTTAATTTCAATAAAAATATTTTTGAATTGAATGTAATTGAATATAACAGTTAAAACGTGAAACACTGACTGGGGAGGGGTGTTGTGGTACCTCATAAGAGATAAGATAATAAGAACAATATGTATTCCTTTTTTCCACATCCTTCACCTTTGTCATTGTTTTTTCTTCTTCCCCCATTTGGTGTATTGCAAAAAATGTGTGCTGCATAACACCGACAACCCGATCGACCCGGTGTCATGATATATCAATCATCTGAGATATTACTTGGAGGGCCAATCTGGTGTCATACTGTTTTCGCTCACAGTAGGAGATATTCAGTTCTAATTTTCTAAATTTTACTTTTTTAAATGAATAATTTGAATTCAACCAAGAGATAAAAAAAAGTCTGTAGAATCACATGAAGAGGACTTTGGACATCTGTAGACTTAGAAAAAAAAAAAAAACTTTTACATGGTACACACATGCTGATAGGCCACTAACAGTGAAGAACAGATGCTGAAATTTCATCCAAAAGCTGTTTCAACAAAGTGAATACATTTGTGCAACTAGGTTATTTTTTCATTTTTGTACTTTTCTCCATTACTTGTTCGGGTGAATTGTGTAGTATAAATGTCACATTAAAGGTAGACAAAGTCTGGAAATTATTCATTGTTGTTTTGTTTGTTGTGTGAGAATTTCTTCTCAAAACTTTACAGCCTAATCTGGTGTGAACATTTCACAGTGAAAACCAGAGAACAACAAAAGAAGTCGCTTAAATTAAGACCAGATTATTGATATTGCACATTTCATCAACAAGCCTGTTCAAAGTATGTAGCAAACAATAAACAGCAAATTTCTCAAAAGTCATCAAAAGTCTACTACTAATCAAAGTAATCTCTGAAATTGTGGGGTTTTTAGCCCACATATTTAGAGCTTATTTGTGGGCTGAGTTCCTTTGTCTAAAAAGGAACTCAGTGTTTCAGAGCAGTGGAGCATAAAAACTTAATGCTCCTTAATATGTTTCAAAAAAAACCTTCTGAGTGAATAAGTGAACAAAATATTAATCAATGCAACGTCAAACTGGGGTTGTTTAACACAGGATTATATTTACAGTGTTGCCCCATAACATGAAGAAATGACTTTTTAAGAAGTCAGAAGGACAGTGAGGATCATATTTATTCTGTCTCCAGCATGGCCTTGATGAACTCCTCCTCCGTGAAGGACAGCAGCTTTGATGCCTCAAGGTGCATCTGCACACAAAAAGTGGCGTAATGTTTTTAAATATGGAACAAACCACACTGATTACAACAGTAAAATTTAAATACTCACTATCTGTCTTTTCAGAATGTCGATCAGCTTGGTTTGCTTCTTGAAACCCAAAATAAGATCATATTTTTGCTTCTTAAGGTTTTTGTTCTCAGCCAGCAGATTTTCTATCGTTAGATTTTCTTCACTGCTCAGGATCTGGATCAACACAAGAAATCAAAATGATTAAATTAAGTTGAGTTCAGTTTATTTGCATTGATCTAAGTCACAATAAATGTGGTCTTATGACTTTACAAAAAAAAACATTGCATATACAGAAATATAGAGTGAATTCAATCACTCCCCCATGATTGTTTCTGGCTGTTAGGTGAAGCTGTTCTACTGGTTCTCGATCTATTTAAAGATAAAGACTTCTGATTTGTATTAAAACATCACTCAGATGGGTTCAGGGTCACCTCCTGGTAATGTCATGTAGAGCCGTGCTCCTTGTTCAATACGGGTCAGGTTTCTTTGTTCACAACACGTTTTTGTTGATTATTTACAGCCAAATGTTTGACGGATCTATGATCATACCCCAATATCTCAGCAATTTCAAGAGTGCTGCATCCATCTGATAGATTTTTGGTAATTTTTGACATTTCAGATCAGTTAAATCTATTGTTTGGCCCATTTTGCCTTAAGAAAAGAACCTGCCTAATCATTATGCACGCTTTGATAGCAGGTATTGACCTCCTGAAACCCAACCTCACACAGATACTCATCACCTGCTGAGCTGAAAAAGTCTGAACAGATTGCACTTTTTTCAGCTTGCAAAATATGACCAAAAATTAGAATTTGGTTAAAACACTCACTTGCCTAATAACTGTTTACACACACAATATTTTTACACACAATGTAAAAATATCATTATTAAACTGAACTCCCCATTTGGATAAACAATCTTCACTAGAGTCTGGAAACCTTTACTCGCTCTACTTTTAAAGTACTCTCCTCGGTTTATTTTAGTTCCTCGTTTGACAACTATTCAACTTTCTAATGCAATTTTATTTTTTTCTCCTAATTCCAAGTGTCCTATCTTTAGAATAGGACACTATCCTAACACTATTGTGTTTCCTATCTTTAGTCTGTTGTATTTAATATGAAGTATTGAAATAAATTCAACAGACCTTCTTCTTCCTTGCCAGATTGGCTGCAGTCAGTTGGGAGTTCATCTTCTCCACTTCCTCATCATATCCCCTAATCAGCTTAGAGAAACAATGTGTTATTTATTACGGTAAATAGGTAACTATTTAACATTATTGTCATTACTAAAAGCATTTTTAACCTTAAAAAAATGTTTCAAGCTCATGCTTCAGTTACCAGTGACACAAACCTTGCTTAACTCATACACTTCCAGATGAAGATTATGACATTTTTGGGCAAGCTCTTTGATTGTAGCTTTTTGTTCCTCGATTTGTATTTTCTGGACATTAATGGTCTTCTGCAGTCTGGCTCGATCACTGCCCAGCTTCCTATTTGTTTCAAATAGCTTGTCAAATTCATCATTCTGAAAGAGGAAAATGTACATGTGTAAAGTCAGGCCAAAACCATTCAGACTTCATAAATATTTAGATTTAAAATTGTAAAAAAATTGTTGTATTTACATTTTTATATTTATTATCTTGATATTTAGATACATTTAAATTTTAAATTCTGTTGCATAAACAGGCTAAGAGACCATTGTTGGTATATTTTGGGAAATTATAGGGCTTTTAAAATGAAGAATGAAAACATGTTGATAGTTTTAATAAAATAAAGTTCCAGAAAAGCAAAATATGTTTGAACTACATGGGAGTTGTTTAGATTTATAACTCTACCTTACTATGATATTCATTGCAAAGCAGATCAAGTTCTTCTTGCACAATGTGTAGCTTGGTTCTTAAAGTCCGAGTTTCATGGTCAGAAAGAGCTGTAAAGTAAACTTTCAATAAATCACAAATATTAAGTTTATTATGTATTTCAAAATATACTGTGTGTTTTAATAAACCACACAGTTGCATAAACAGGCTAAGAGACCATTGTTGGTATATTTTCGGGAAATATACCCCCACCCCCCCAAAAAAAAAAAATAAAAAAAATTATATATAAATATATATATATATATATGTGTGTGTGTGTGTGTGCGTGTGTGTGTGTGTGTGTGAATCAAATCATTTAAGACCGTTTATTAATTAATATTATTTCATATTAACAAATTATTAAGTTGACTCAAATTTTCAGCATTTAGTAAATTACCTGCACCCTTTTTCTGAACAAAACCATTGATTTTCTCCTCCTTTTCCTCTTGGTCAGAATCCGTGTATTTTGTTGTTACTGACGCCCTTCTATTGGCCAAATTCTAAGGATTACAAAAATAAATCACATGTTTGGCCTCAACAAAAGTTATCTCCAGAATACTCACAGTTTTATCCAGGAAAATATCTGGACTGATACCTTCTTTCCAGGATCCTGCATGGTTCTTGCTTGGGACTTAGAAATCCTGCAGCAGAGAAGTTGGAGATGAACAGATTAACTTTGAATGAACAGTGAAGACGTGTATCTGTCTGCATGGACGGCCTTTTCTGGCGGTTCTTAACCGGAGCTGTTTATCTTCCATGTTCAAGAGCAGCATGTTGAATAGAGGCTGTGACTGGACTTCTGTCTCCTCCATCTAAAACCCATATAAATCTGTTTGACCTTTGAAAGATAGCCTGATTGATTTCCCATTTTTCTCCATCAACAGGCTAACTTAGGTCTATAAGTTTCAATAAACTTGCCACATGAGTCAAAGGAAATATATTCATAACCATAATGCACTCTGTTTGTTTTAGTAGCTCTGCTGTTTTGACTTCCAACAGCCTGACTGACACAGCAGAAAGAAAAGCACATTAAGTATGGATACAGTTCACAATTTATAGCAAGTACCAGCAGGAAAAAAAAAAGTATTATTAATTTGTTACAGAGAGATTTGTAAGTTAATCAGTCTTTCGATTTATTCCCGGATGCAAGTGCAGCTTTAAAAACAAGAGCTAATATTATATTTTATTTTGTAAGACGGGACACAGTCAAACACATTACAAAAAACTGACATGAGCAAAACAGACATTTCAGGCCCTCTCAGGCCAGTACTGGTTATCCTTGTGGCCTAGTTTTGTTTTGTTTTTGTTTTTTTTTTTCGATGACGCACAGAACAGAAATAATAGTTTTAGGTCCAACAAAAGAAAAAAAATGAAGAAATTACAAGATTATGATGAATGAAAAAGCTGTCGCTCAGCTTCAGCTAAGGGTGAGTTGAGAGTTTTAATGCCTTTACTGAATGTATCTCTTCATCAGTAGGAGCCTGTCGAAATACACTTGACTCTTTCTGATCTCAAGCTGATCGATTATCCGCGTTTTGTCGGAACTGCAGTTACCGATTGAAAATCAGAAACTAACAGAAAACATCTCTCCTGACAAGGAGGACGCGGCAGTAACACCTCGGCATGGTGGCGCGTTTTAAATCACAACGACTGAGTCGGTCCACCTCCGAACACGATTTATAAAACCTTTCTTCAAGCTCAAACGTGTTTCTCTCGGCATTAGCATAACAATCTAAGCATCACTTACCCGCTAAACGACGGCGTTAATGGTTTAATTACAACTTCTATCCCCGCTGTTTCACACCTCTGAAGACGCAATTCCAGTTGCCTAGCAATGACTCCCAAAGTAAGGAAGCCCCTAAAGAGCATGTGGCGAAATGTGGCGAAATGCGGCGAAATGTAATGCGGCGAAATGTGGCGAAATGTGGCGAAATGCGCGAAATGTGATGCGGCGAAATGTGGCGAAAATGGTCCTATTGAGTTAATCTTGAAACAGGTGTTGAAAAATTATTAGAACTTGAACTTGCTGGTGTGAATATTCAGAACACTGTGGTGAGTCGGTCAGAACTCCAAAGAACGCAGAGTCGTACTCCAGGGTGATTTAACTCGTACTTGCCGTTTATTTAGGTAATTTTGTGTGTGGTTCTAGAAAATAAACAACAATACAACATCAGTGTCTGTATAACATGACTGAAATAACATCACACATACTAAATAACTGCACTCTCAATGATTCTAAACATCACGTTTCTACATACACGCGTGTATAATTCTAAAGTGTGCACGTGAACAGAGCATGCTATTAATTAAGCGTAAAACTAAAATACTCAGCTAAATAAACAATATTATTAACAGCTAACATCACTTACTTGTATTTCCACGCACACACATCAAGGAAGGTAACAATAAACAACAGCCGGTTAAACGAACAAATGCGAAAGTAACTATACTCCTTTTTCACTCTTTTTTCTCTCTTTCTTCGTCTGCATGCTGCAGCTGCTCTAAGCCCCGCCCTTAATGACTCATCATGGCAGTTTGTTATACAGCCTTTTTCACAGCCGCCCCCGTATTCACCTGTGAATACGAATATCAAAAAAAGGCTGAATAAAAGGAGGTGGTTAATCATCATTAGGCAGGGTAGGTAGGCTGACCAGCCTTGCCACGGGTCGAACATAGGTTCGTCCCTTCTGATCAGCTGATCTGATCCGGGTGTCTGGCCCAGGAAAACTTGAGAGACTTTACCCCAGGCCAGAGGGCTCGCGGAAGCTGGTTGTCCACGATCATGACCACATCTCCTACTTGTAGATTTGCTGATTCAGTCTGCCACTTCTGGCGGGCTTGGAGTCCTGGCAGGTAGTACTTCAGAAAGTTCTGCCAGAAATGGTCGGCTAGAATCTGGCTGTGCCTCCATCTTCTCCGCCCAAGAATCTCTGGGCTGTCATAGATTACTTGCGGCAGCGAAGCATCCCGCCGTCCCATGAGAAGATAGTTGGGGGTCACCGGGTCAGGGTCTGCTACTTCAGAAGAGATGTAACCTAGGGGTTTTGAATTAAGTATCCCCTCAATTTCAATCAGAACGGTGTGCAGCACCTCTTCAGAGACGGTTTGGGCTCCGATGATGACTTGAAGAGCAGTCTTTAGCGAGCGAATTTCACGTTCCCAGCAACCTCCAAAGTGTGGGGAACCAGGAGGATTGAAAATGAACTTGATTTGCTGGCAAGTGTTGAAATAATATTTTAAATTAGCACAATACTGCACAGGATAGTTTTGATACATATGAAATATACCATAGAAAGTTAAAGTACACTCTACATTCACATAAATTTAGATAAAAATCCAAACTAAAACAACTGCTGAATCTCTGAACTTATATAAATTCTTAGGGAGGATTCTACAGGAAAGACAGGCCTAGAATCTCTTTAGACAGAGTCTGTCTGCCAGGCAATTAACAAATTCCTTAGCATGGTTCAAAAGTTCACTAGGATCTTAAACTTTTTATAAATAATTTTATCTATATTAGAATTAACTATATTTCTTTAAGCATGTTTTTAATTAGTTACTTATTAGATCCAAACTTATAGTCATTATTTAGCATTACATTGTGTGCAAGCTTGGTTAAAAATACAAACTACTTTCTTGTGAAAACAGTTTGAGGCACAGATAGCGCTGCAGCTGCAATCATATATCAAACTGGACAGCGGCTGATACGAGAAGGGTTTGCCGTATATCTGCTTTTGGGGCTCTTTAGCAGGAGGTAATAAAATTAACATTGAGACAGCCCACACAAAGGAAAAGAACACACCTCCTAATGCATATATTTAAATGATGAGATTACGCATTCTATAAAATGATTTGGTTTACAGCAGAAGTTGGAATCTCTTTGTGCTGGGTGAGAGTTTTCCCGGAGGATGCATCTTCTGTCTTTTTTACTCAGTTCTTTGTCTCTGTTCTGTAATGTCTTGGACTTTTGATATTCTAGGTGAGATGCTTATTGTAACATTCTTCTTGCATTGATTTTCTCTGGATAAAACTCTGAATATCTGAAGTCTGACGTCGTATGATTGCTCTTTTCTCTCTGCACACTTACACAGACACAGGAATTCGGGACTAAGAATTAATTAACGAGCTAAGATCAAGTTCTTCACTTTATAATTCTTAACAATTGGGTGCTTCGTCCGGTCCTTTTTCTCTGTGTCTCTGTGTGTGTTGCAGTGGAGACTTGTTTGTTTGTGTTAGCCTGTGGAGCGCAGCTGGAACGTTGCGGAGTGATCTGCAGCGCGGCTATCCCCGCGGACTGATCTTGGTTAGTGTGTGATCTCTTTGTGTTGTTTTGTTTCTTCTTATTCTACTGAACCATTAGATAAGCTGGTTACACACCCGTAGTTGGCAGTGGCGCGCCTCAACCACACTCGACGGAGTGTGGATTTAGCTAGGTTGGCTCGACCTGAGATTTTACTACACTTAAACGAAGCCTGTGTGATGGGGTGTGAGACAGGAAAAGGTTTGAATCGACCTTGGAGTTTTGGTTCGCTCCGAAAGCAGCTGATTATTCGCAGGGCTTATGAGAATTGGCTACGGTTGTATCACCACGTTCCAGTTTTGTTCTGGATCGAAAGGACCTCCAGATTTAAAAGTTGAATCACTTAAGCTATTGCCCGAGCTTGAAAGGACTTATGCTAAATTGGGAGACGGTCTCCTTCCGCAGCAACTAGTGCTGAAAATGAAAGTGATGTGCAGTGAAGTGCAAGAGACATTGGGGCCCCAAAGAATTAAACTCTTCTGTTATCGATAACAATAGGGACTTTCCTTTTGCTTTCTTATCTTTCTTAATTTTCCTCGTTTGTCTCTGTGTGTTGACGTTATTTTGATTTTTTCCTGTGTGTTGACCACCTTGTCTGTTCGTGTGTTTTCGGTGTTTTTTGTCTGTCTGTGTTGTTTCGCCGGCGTGTCTTCGTGTCTTTGTGTTTTTGTCTTTGTGTTTATGTCAGTACGTTATCTGTTTGTGTGTCGGAGTGACTGAGCCGTTGTTTGTCTGTGTGTTCGTTGTGCGGTGGTCGTGTGTGTGTCGCAGTTGTCTGTGTGTGTTTACGGCTCTCTGTATGTTATTGTGTGTATGGGAGACGGCGTTTGCAGCTGCTGAGTGAGTGTTGTGTTATTTTGCCGCGGTTTGTGCTTATATACTATTTGAGAACTAATTATAAGAATAATACTCTCTAATATTAATAATATTAATAATACTGATGATATAATTTTTATCAGGCTATGTGCTTATATGGCGGTTGATTTTAATAATGACGTGTTAGCTTGTTACTCTGCTTCTGTCTCGTGGCTTACAGTACAGGCGCATGTACGGAGCTACGTTAGCATTTAATTCAGCAGTTGGCTTGTTACGTTTGATGTGACTCCGGCTCGCTTTACAGTTGTCATGGCAGATGTAGTTCGTCAATAAAGTGATGTTGTCATTTTGATTGTCTGTTACACGTAGGCAGGTCGTTGGTTGTTACACATTGTGTCTGTAGAACAACTGCAGGCTGATTTTTTTCCCTGGACAGCTGCGTCTGTGAGTTTACAGGAGGCGACTCAGGAAAGAAAGTTGTGGACCCGTTTTGGTGAGTTGGCCAGGCATTGAACACTTCTTTATACAATGATTGTTATTTTGACTTTTTATGGGGAACCGGTTTGTAGTAATAATGCTAAATTAAAAGCGGTGTCTGAGGTTTTGTCGCACCTCAGTCTACTCCATTCTCTGCAGTGCTGGCCTATATTTTAGTTGTTGATTAGAGTTTACAGGTAGACCCAGTTTGCAGGGTCATTTTTTGTTTTTTGTTTTTTCTCTCTCCTGCATAAATGTTTGCTAAGTAAATGTGTTGTTGGTAGCTTTTTTATGGTGATTAGAATTAAGCCTGTTGATTTGTATAGATCGGATTACAAGTGTTTTGCCTAGTTCCGCCTCTTAACAGAAAAAAAAAAAAAAAAAAAAGGGAGGTGTGATTGTCTATGGATAGGATTGGATTACATTACACCAGTATTAAAATCCCTTCACTGGCTCCCTGGCTCAAAGAATATATTTTACAACACTGTTGTTAGTTTACATATCACTGACTGGTTTAGCACCACAATACATCTGAAGATCTGCTGTTGTATCAATTTTCCAGACTATGGTTCTGGTTCTGGTTCTGATTTTGCAGAGCCAGAACCAAGAGAGGGAAGCAGCTTTCAGCATCTGTGCACAAACATTTGGAAGTTAAATTAGTGGGTGGTCTTGTTTCGCAGGGCCTAGTTTCACACGTCATAGTCTGGTGCGGTGTCATATTGCAAATCTAATGAATGAGAAACAAATGAAAGTAATTGTATGATGACTAAAATATTAGACTCTTGGCTGTCAGACTATTAGGCTGTCCGTTTCTTAGACGTGTCTCCTTTGTCATGCTGATTATCAGTCACCTCTGGAGAACAAATGTGAAACTTTGTTTTGGTGTTGTTCCGTTCAAATAAGAAAGTTTGTCTTTTGGACTTTAATACTGGTGCTGTGTTGTGGATTAATGTCTTTATTTACTTATGAGGGATTTACAATTGATCAGGGGGAATTACAGGCCCTTTTTTAGGTTCACCTCCACTAAATATTTATGATTTTGCATTAAGCGCTAAACCTTCCATTTTTTTTCACTGACCACACACATTTTTACTTGGTTTTGGCTGTTTTAGATGCGGACCTGGGGAATTTATTTTCTCTTTTGCCGCTCCGGGTGTTATTTCTAAATTTTTGTAGGACATTTACATACATCCCTATATGTTTTTATATGAGGCCATAGAGTTGTGGAAGG